TATGTAAAGACCAAGTGTAACCTATATCATCGTTAAATTTTATCTTATAAAACCAGTGGAACTTCAAAATCGTTAAAATTCATGGCTCCCGCCGCATTGCGCCGGTACACAACTAGTTTTTAACAAACCATAGAGACAAAAAATGTAATTTACTCTAGTTTATATATATATATATATATATATGTGTGTGTGTGTGTGTGTGTGTGTATATATATGCGGGTTTAGGTGAGAAAGAGAGTTAAGGTGAGAAACGTAAGAATAAATCTCCACCCTTAGATGGACATTAAGATGAGTTGCACCGAATCAATCCCCGTAGCAAACACGATTCATGAGTGGGTTTGAGATTAAAGGTGATCAAGGGTCTAGATCCTTTTTTACGTTTATTACCTTAACGATCATTCTCACACAATCATTCGCTTATGTGTATGTGTATTTATGTAAACAAAAATACAATCAATGAGTATATATAACACATAAATACAATCAATAAACTCGATCTTTGATGATATGTTTGGTTGCTTGTTGTGACAACCTAGGTCTGAATATTGTGCCATTTCCCTCATCGGGTTCCTCTCTTTTCATCGTGGGGTTGGTGGGATAAAGGTGGATTTGAGACGCGCGTGTACTCATAATGTGTTGGTCCCAACCGAATCTACAAGAGTTATAGATAATCAGTTTGTATAAATGGGTAAATACAAACATATAAACTTTCATTTTTAAAAATTATATATTGATTAAGAAACATCAATACAAATTTTACAGATTGTTTGCAGAAAAGATAATATAAAGAAACATATTTGAACAATCTAAAGTTCACACAATTACAAGATAGCAAAGAGAAAATATTTGATACAAAAATATAAAGAAATGTAAATGTTTTTCACTTGTTTCAAGTGGTTCTTTCTCTTAATATGAGAGTAGATAGAGGAAAATATCTTCTTGGGTAAGTTTCTTATAGATGAAAATGTTGTAACTGAGTAGAGAGCACTCAGCTATTTATATTCATTGCATTTAATGCAATTCAGAAAGTACAAAGCACATGTTAAGCTTTTGGAGAAAAGTTTGTCATTTGCTACAGTAAACAATTCTTTTGGTTGTATATGAGCAGTCCTCTTTTCATAAAACTATAAGGGTATTCGTGCAATGCATCGAGACACATCTTGATTTCAATGTTTTGTTTTATTCTTTTTTTATGTCAATATAATACAGTTTTATGTGGTTTTGAAAAAAACGATAATAATTTTATTTTTGAATAAAATATAAATTTGAAAATATCATAAAATTTTTAAAAAAAGTTATATCAATATCAGTATCAAATTAATATTTATAAAAGTTCTTGTGTTTCAGTGTAATTTCCTTAATTCAATTTTTTTAATTATAATTTAATTTAGATTTACTAACAAAGAAATTTAATTTAGGTTTAATAATATTATTTTTATATAGATAATAACTAAGTATTCTGTTAGAACTCAATAATTATCTTAATTATATTTTAGATTTTTTATATTTAAAATGAGGTGTTTATCCAATATTTGATTATGTTTATCTGGAGTTAGTTACATGAATTCAAATATGGAGCTTTAATAAGTTGTATTTATGCACAATTTACTTGTAATATTAATTGTAAGTAATATGCATCAATAAACAGTACTTCGTGCATAAAAATTGGTATTTAAGAGTTTTTATCAAATGTTTTATAATATAGTATAAATAGGTAAGCACTATAGAGTCAACGGAGTGGCTCCGTACGGTACTGTACTCTAGAAATGTATGAGATTGTCCTTTGTGTGAAGGAGGACAAAGCAAAAACAATTGTGTAAGGCAACTTCATTTGATTGCTGAATGTTGGGATAACGTTGGAAGATTTCTTCAACATTCGCTGAAACTAGTGCATACTTCACATATAATTAGACGAGCTTGTAATCACGTTGGTCTCTAATATTCAGTTTCTGTCTTCGACATTGGTAAAGGTTATTTGATGTGAGTTTTGTCTTCTTGAAGTATAACAATCTCTGAATGAGTTACAATACATGTTCGATGATCAATGAACAAATTCAGTGAAGATCGTTGAAACTGAATAACAGAAATGGTATACTTCGTAAGGTAAAATGGATCATTATCAAATCAATGAGATATATGATCAACATAATGCGAAAGGATATGGATCTAAAAGTCGAGATCAAAGCATTAGCTCAAGATAAGAGCCCTTATGAACCAAGGCTTCTAGAGTTCCTGGAGGGTCCATCATCAAGAATGACCGAAAATGGTTAGAAGCATTCCTAACAATGCTAGCTACAATGGAATACTCTGGCAAAATGGATCGTCATTTCGCGAAATCGAACACCCTGAGAGGAAGATTTCATTTGCTTTCTGTTTCTTGGAACGAAGTTGATCCATGGTCATCGAGATGTCTATGTAGAAAGATAACCTAACTTAGAAGAATAATTGGTTTTCCAGGTGGGAAAATTAAGTAAACAACTCAAGTGGACAAGATGCGAACCACTCAGTTGATAAGTCAATTAAACTTTTTTTTAAATAGCCTAATGAGGAGATGATCATAACCTCTGAGCTCAGAGAATATTCCTTTTTTGAGGTTTTGTAAGAAAACTTTCAAAAGATATTTTAATATTGCTTTGATTGTTCGGAGGAAGTTTTGATGATATAACAGCACGGATGTATAAAATTTAAATTATCAAATACTGTAATTGATTCATTTATTTTCGAACTAGTCTTATGCAAACGCAACCATCAACATTGGGTTAATCTGAAGTTTTAAAATAATACATCGTTTAAACGTGTAATTGACATTTATAACGATATTATTAAAAAATTTAAAATTGCAAACGGGAAAAAATCCCCGATTCTCGAGTGGCAATTCTTTTTCCCAAGTAGGGATGGGCGTGGGGAAGGAACTTGTTCCTCGACAAGGACGGGATGGCCGGATGGAGATAGGGAGTGGGGAATGAAGATGGGGATGGGAATTACAATACCCGATATCCCTGATCTCGTTGCCATCTCTAATCGGGTAAAGATTTACCGACAAGAGTCGTTGGCCTCACTTATCTTATTGGTTGATTTTCTCGACCATCGAAATGGATTATTGGTAAGCATTTTTTACCTTCCCCTTATATACCGGATAAAACTCCAATGTAAGATTCTCAGTCCTTGCTATAACTCTTATCGTGTAAGATTCTCAGTCTTTGTGATAACTCATATGGAGTAAGATTCTCATTATTTGTCATGCTGACCCATA